GGCGTTTCATTCCGTTGTTTAGCGTTGATTTTTTCTTTGCTTTTTGTTGATTTTATTCCATTTGTTGATGATTTATGGTAGTTCTTTCTTGATTTTACCGCTTTTTCACTGTATTCTGTTTTCTGTGTAACTGTTTTTGAATTTCACATGGTTTCAGTTGGGATAATGTTCTCATCGGAATGACTCTCGAATGGAATGATTCTCAGATGTTGTCTCGTGCAAAATTTACTCTTTTTTCTTTTGCTTTTTGTTCATTTCATTGCTCTTTCTTTTAGTATCCCGTTTGCGTTTGCCTGTCTCTTTTTCCTGTGTTTATCAACTAAACAGCAAAACGAAACAGCACACCCCAGTTCCCCGACCGAAACTAAGAACTGAATCGATTTTCAGTGCCCCTCAAACAAAATCGAAAGAGGTCGTTTTTGTCTACTCAGCGACCGAAACTAAAAGAAAAAAAAACAGACCTTGAATAGCTACCGATCAGAGTTGGATGCAACTTATCGATTGGTGGCAAATAAAGATCGAATTTCAGTGCTATTGACGTTAACCGATCGACGCTTAAAAATGGCCCTGTCTGTGGCCATCGTAAAAAACCTTCCGTTTCCCGACTCAGTGTATAACTATTCTCTAAATTCAGCCGGCTACGGTCGATGGCTCCTGTTTCACTTTCTCGTCCTTCTTTTGAGTAATGATATTCGAGAACTGTGACCGACTTTTACTGATGCGATCACTGCAGGCAAACGGCTGTCATTCAATTTTAATTTTAACGGCAGGCAATTTTAACTTCTCTATAGCTTCCTTAATTCATTTCACTGGATGAGTTCGTAACAAAATGACATATTTTATGTCTAAACGCTGTCGTCTAGGCACTAATACGACCTCCTTCAATTACATTCAGTAACGATTTTCATTTGGCTGGCAAGTGTACAATCGTAAATGGGTTTTCCTCATCATGTGTTTTTTAGCGTTCTCATTCTTCAGTCAGCTCCCCAAATTTATTTCATTCCAATCCCATATTCTCAACTTTTCGTTGATAATTCTTCACTCTCAGAATGTTGGCATACGTTATATCACAGAATACACACATCAGAATGAATAAGTGCAATATTGCTTGCTAGTAATTATGTGAATAATTTTTGGCATTTTTCTGTTTTCAAAGAATGCGATTTAATGAAGTAGTTTTGATATTAATGATATTCGTTCGAAAAACCCTTCAAATGCTTACAGGGATTAAATTGGAAACTGCTTTCTGCAAGATTGCAGAGAATGATTTATCACTTGAAATTTATTTTGGAGAAGTTTTTGGAGAAATGGGCTAATGAAGGATTTGGTAGGCTAGCTCTTCTTTTCACATTTGCAAGCGCGTTCAAAGTTGTATCTCAATTTATTGAAGGAATATTCAAACATTTACCGTCAACCAACGGTTACCAGGGATTAGCATATGGTGTCGAATGTCTCGTTGTAATTTCTCCCCGCAGCATCGGGACTAATACTTCCAAAGTTCAATAATTCTGTGAATCCAAACCAATCGAAGTCAACTGTTCTCTCCTCACATACAAATTTTCCCGCACTTATTGTTTGCAGCTGCAATTTATCGTTACCAATTTCAAGGTCTATGTTCATTTCGTATCTTAGTTTCACCATAAGTGGATCGATGCGAACTTCTACGAAAAATATAGTTTGCTCATTTTGCTGTGCCAGCTGTCTTTCTTCCAACCTCAAATTTTGATTGTTCTATTGCATCTATTTGCATGAAATCTATTACACAATTGAGTACTTCTTCTGTGAATTTCTTCTCTAACGTAACGTACTTAGCATTCACTTGACCACTGGAAACCCACTCACTCATGTTCGAGAAAATTGATAGCATAGACTTTTAGAACCGGTTACAGTTCACAGTCATTATGAGATTTTAACAGAATATCTAATGATGTTGTTTTATTCAATCGAGCTGTTTCATTAGCAGTGAAAAAATGTAATCGGTATCACCATAGCGAACGAACTGGAGCGTATATACCCCAAGTTCGTATATACCCCAAGAAGTATATACCCGAAGTTCAACTTCAATAAACAAATTTTTAGTGCATGAAAGCTGAATGACATATGAAAAGACATAAGCATTATTCGGCTGATTGTGAAGTGCAACCGGCATCACTAGAAATATATTTAAATGTATGTTTTTAAAAACGCAGATCAACAGGCATAAATAAATCATCAACATAATCTCATGCATGAACACACAAATGATTTGATGCGATCGATCGCTTGTTGGCATTACACGGATGAGATGATGCATCAGTCAATCAATCCGTTTATAAAACCCATTCATCGCTTCTTTGAATCCCCGCTTTGTGTCATTCCTTTTCTGTGTCATTTTACCTATCAACTGCAGTTCGTCTCCTCTTTTTATCGTTCTGATCGACTGTTTTGATGTCAATTCAATAGTATTTTTGCCAAATGAATCGTTCGTTATTTTCGCGCGGAAGTGAAATCACTTCGCTCGTATCACAATGTTGCTAATTGTAAGTTTTGAAGAACGCATTTTTGAACAACCAGCTGCTCGTCGATTTCAATTCTCTTCCACTTGAAATATATATTTGTAAGTTGCTTTTCTAAAGTTTATTATCGAAAATTCAACATCGAAATTGATGCCCTTAACAATGCAGTTACTTTCTTCGGTGATTCAGTTAACTCATATTAAACTCAATCGTTCTTTCAATATTCTTTGAAGATCTCTCAAGGAAGCAATGAAATTGACTGTGATGGTTGAATGATAAAACTGAGTGGTGATACGGTGTGGGCATTTTGAAATAATTCCTTTTTATATATGTAATCATATATGAGAATAGAATGATGAAACACCTGTTAGTTGATCGTTTAACATCTGAACAGAGTCACTATCTTGCAATCGCTCAGCGAGATTGGTTGTTACACGACGTTTAGCTTCAAATTCATCTTCCTCACTCCGTAATTCTCATTTCAATAACTCTANTGTCTTCGTGTTAAGCTGGTGCTTTTTCTCGCTTGTCTACAATTGTTAGCGTTTGAAAACGATCATAATTTTGAACGAGAAACAGGGTTTGACATACATCTGGAATGTTTCTTTTCAATAATTTATCTTTATGTGATCATACAAAAATCGTTTGGTGAGCTTTCATCTGCAATTTGACTGATTAGATACAACTATAACAATATTTATTTTAATTACTGTTCGATAATCCACGCAGTTTTCCTGATGTACTGGCTGGCGGAAGGAAGCAAGAACATTAGCTAACAATCCACGACTGCTCGTCTCATTAGATGATGCGTGAAACCTAGAGACATCGCTGGTTCACTGCGTTAGTCACACAAGAAACGGGAACAGTTCTTTTGAGCACATCTTGGAAACATTGGTAGAAATAAGCATGAATAGATAAATGCCTACCATCTACTGTGTATTTTCGTCGCTGTCCCAAATGAAAAAGAAGCTTATGTTGCCCCCATTAAGCACAATAACACAATAACTGTCGTCCTAAAATATTGGTTCAGATGCATCGAGGTGGTTCACTATTCCAACAATTGCGTTTATTAATATAATACAAGTGGTCTATGAATGGTTCGGATCGTAAGATTGTGGTTGCATCAAATTTGAGGAAGACAATATGATTTCATGTCAATGATCTCATAGATGCTAATCTGTTCAAGAAGAAATCTTCAGTTAAGATGATTATATATGAGCTGTATTAAGTTGTAAAGTGACAAACCTCGCTCACGAACGTTACTCACAACTGGTTCTGTTTCTTATTTATTTGATCGCCGCCACTGTCGCCTGAAAAATGCTGCTGCATGTTGCTGATTATTCCTTTACGACAGTTTTCTCATCTCTCCTCTCATCGCTTTCATTGTTTTCACCTATCTTCCTACGTTGTTCTCTATTTAATGAATTAATTCATTCAGACAAATGAGTGGTTATATTCATTCATAATGTTTGCATTAAATTAGTTGCTTATCCATAGCGCCATTTTGCCGACTGCTCTGGTTTTATTTTGATGGCTGCATATGCTTTTNCACGGTTGACGATCCAGTTCACTGCTTTTAAAAGTATTGCTCGCTTCGCCACCTAGTATTCGTTTGTCGATCAGCAGTTTCGATGAAAGTTTTCGTTGAATTTCATGCATTTAGATACTTACTGGAAGTAGATAGTATCTGCGTATAATTCGATGAATGTTGCACTGAATTCTGCGAATAATTTGTATATGTTATTTATATACGTATACTATGTGTGTATCAGGTGAAGTTGAATTTGATTAGTCAGTGACTAATCAGATAGAATAAATTGACGTTTTTGATTAATGAATTAATGGCGGAAAACATCTCTTGCCTTAGTCTCAACAGTAGAGTATCCTCCAATTCTCCACTTCAAATTCTAACCATTCACTGATGTTTTCACTTCCTTATTTTAGGAATCTGATTTGAAGAGTGCGATCATAACTTGAATCGTTACTCTGATCATCGAGCACGTCTAATTTAATCTTTCATCAGTTTGGCGAACCAGCTTAACGAAAAAGCTTTTGATGGCCACTGTTCAAGTCTCAAAATACTTTCCATGTAATTCCCTCCTCATTGAACAATCAGTCTTCTTGAGGACTTCCACTGCCCTTACAGAGCGAACATAGCTCAAGTATTGAAGCTTAAAATTTGCTAAATTGGCGGTATGATATGGGTCCTTATAAGGCAGAAAGTTAATGAAGATGAAGCACTGATGAAGCATTGAAATATAATTGCGATGTAATGAATACTCGTTCCCACAAACTATGAAAGAGAAATAATGTATCGTGTTTATTCTAGGTATTTTAGTGACAAAAACACTGATAATTATACCTGAACAACAGCGACATTTTGGATCGTCTATGGAGTTAATCTAATTACTGCATTACTAATCCTATTATGTAACTTCAAGTTGTCGCTCGAATACAAAACTCACTCAACGTGGAGAGTGGTGAACAACGAATGGGTCAAGAAAAATGTCATTGGATAAGATGAATGATCCAAGAAAAGAAAGTAATCGGGACGCTGATAATGAAGAGGACAAATTAAGTCAATTGCAGCGATCGTTAGAGAGTATTCAAATATGTCAAAATTTCACAGCATCACCACTATCCAGCTGTCAGAATGGCTCATTCTCAACGCCAGTGCGAACTATTAAGGTATGTTTTATATCAGTTAATGTTTACATTTCGATATTTCCTCATCACGGCTATGATGTCAGTACTCGAATTTGTCACATTGATTTCTCGTTAGATGTTTCGCTATGGTCGCGCAAGGCTTTCTGTTCACCATTTGTCATCGTTAACGATTCAGATCAATCACTCAAAATTTGAGCCTTCAATGAAAGCGTTCATTCATTCCATCATGAAACACCTAGAAAAAAAGTTATTTTCCAGGGAAGTTTTTCTTCTACAAAAACGTCATTCCCTTCGAGTCACAGATGAAAACAAACTCGAATGGGTGCAGAGGAGTTAAATGAGCTATAATTGAATAACAGATCGCTAAAATGTAGTTCAGGTCAGATGTCATCCGAACGAAGTACCTTTCACAGTTCATGGTGGTGCAGCACGCAATCAGCTGATCCTCATCGAATTCATTCATCATCCTGATCTGCTCAACGTTCTCCATACGGACGATGTCATACTATCAGTTGATGGAAGGTGCCAGTACTCTATGCAAATGCAACTTTCCATATCCTTAATAAAAATACTCATACAACTTTATTTTCATGCTAGGTTTTTAACAATTCACCCAGTTTCAAAAATTTACAATAGGTTCTCTCCGTTTCTATTTGAACTTGTTCTGGCTGAAAGTTCAAGACGAGTATCTGAACAAGCGTTTGCGTTCTGGTTATTCTTCTTCGGTCAAATCTTAGAAGGTTGCGTTAAGCACTCAACTGGTCAAATTATCAGAAAATGTTCCCAGGAAATTCTGGATAGCCTTAAACTTTTAAGTTATCTTCAGCAAGTTAATATGTGAAGACGATGAGATGTGAAATTTTTACTCCAATTATGAGGATGGGATTGAAACCGAAAAAAAATTTCTTTAAATGTTTTTGTAGGCAAATATCAGGGATGCTGTTGAGTGATGTTCAGTTGTTGTTGGATGTTTCATTTGTCACCAAAGAACTGATCACTTTGGAAATCATCAACGGAGGTTTTTGATACTATGATCTTATTGCTTTCTTCCGTGCATTTTACACGATAAAATTCAATTAATGAAATAGAAAACACTAAAAAATACAGTGCTCTCATTTTACTCTAACTGATACAACAATCGCGTTACACTCAATAAAAAGAAAGTTGATTCCTATACAATTAGTAATGTTTCTCTAACAAGCCATGTTTAACAGATGATCAAATCTAAGAAGGTTGCGCTCAGATAATATTGTTTACTGATTTTCCGCTCTTCATTGATCGTATACGATTATTTTATAGCATCGATTCCTAACGATTTAACCGAATTGCTATCGAACAAGGATTATGCTGAACTTCAAAAAATTATTCGAATTAACGTTTACCAGAAAACAGTTCCGTGTGAGTTTATATNAGCGGCTTGCGATAGAACGTCTTTTACACGCTAAAGAAACATTTTTTATGTCACCCATCAAAACTTTTTCCCATGTCATCTTTCCATTCACTGAAATCTAGTTTCGCTGCTGCTTTTGCGTATGCATGATGCGCTGTTTCCTAATATATCCGTGAAATATTTCAGTGCAGCAAGGAGGCTTCCATTTAAGGAATTACATGAGCTGTTCTCTTTGCGAACGACTGCAGGCAGCTCTAGAAAGTTGTTTCAATTGAATTTTAGCATGGGTAGTTGGTTAATTATTTCCGACTTTACTCAACAAACATATCGTCTAGATGTGCACTCGCATAACGGCGCATGACAGAGTAATGATAATGTATGAGAAAGGTTGCAAAGATGAAATATTGTCAAGATTGCGGAAAGTAAAGAATGCCTTTAGAATGATTCCTGTAACTTACAGATACGACACGTCCTCGAAAAGCCGATGAAATCGATGGAGTACATTATCGTTTTGTGAATGTAGCATTTTTCAGTTATCTCCAACAAACGAATCAACTTCTTGAGTACGGCCATTATCAAGGTGATCATTCTAATTGAACAATAAAAAAACAGAATACTTGAAAACAGCATCATCCTATGGCACGATATGGTATATTGATGCGGTTAAAAAAACCGTTCTGCTAATCATATTTCCGCTACTTCCTTATTGCTTAACGATTCCTCATGAGAGGAAGTTAAACTTAGAAATCGTTTCTGATGTCACATTTAGAGAGCATTAGCGTTGTTTTCGGTTGATTGTTTCTCTGAAATCAAATTATCCTCCATCATCTTCGTAACTGATGCTTATTTATCGTATTCATCTTGCACTTTGATTGTAAATTTCAAATTTAAAACAATATTGAATAATCAGCCGAACACAATCAATAGCAAATCAGCTAGTCACCAAACTAACTGAACATTAAATTTGCTCATTTGCTGAAAATGGCAATATCTTTTTTCGAATGCAATAAAATGTACGCCTTCGTTCAAGTACACTGAGAAATGTAATCTCATAAAATGTGCTATTTTGCCATCATCCTTCCAACTTTCAGTTTTTTCTTTACAATGCGCTCGCTCCCTGATCAATACATTACATTATAATAATCATTGCAAATTTTGTTTCTAGCATTATTAATAAACTGGAGTAATCATACGACGTAGAGTATTTTTGGTGCAATACGCAAAAGTGTAGATGAACAAAAATATAGCCTAACGATGAATTTCCGCTGCTTGACTGTTTTTCGGCAGAAAAAGTTGTGAATAATTCTGGACTGTTGTACATACGCATGATTTTTTGTGGCATCTCTGTTTTGTTTTCCTTTAAATAGCGTTTCATTACCATCATTAGTTATCCGTTCATCGGTGTTTAAAATTTCTGATGTGCTACTTTATTATTACGTTAAGTTCAACTCTGCACCACTTGCGAGTTGTGAAGAATTAACGCAGATGAGGAAGTTGAGTTGAAATGTCATAGGCCAGTGGCAATATCATTCAAAAATGAGTGCTTATAAGAATTTTTGTTGATTCAAACGAGATTGTTAAGCATGTGTCGAAGAACTCTCTCAGCAACGGCACAACAAGACTGCATGACTCATTATAATGTGATCTATCCTAACAACAGTGTAAATGCCAAAAAAAACACAATTCTCCAGCTTTTCATAAAGTCTACAATCACCAAACATCATTAATATTTCGACAAAGTCGATCTGTTATGAGCTCTCGCCATCAATAATCATTTGTAACCCTTCTCTTATCTTACATTAATTTTTGTTCTCTCTCTCAAATAGGAACAGTGGTGTTAACGTAGGTATATACGACAGTTCCATAAGTGGAAATCGTGAATGGTAACTCATCCATTAAATTATCAATGCAAACGAAAATGGACATTTTAAAAAGCATACATATTATCATCGTTTTGTCTTTACTCAGTTGATAAGACTGGATTATGAGACGTGTATACGTGATGAAATAAATACGAACAGTCAACGTTGCTTAGTTACGTCCGAATAGTATTTTGAGAGTTGGATATTGTCGAGATTACACTTATTTCATGCTTATTCTGATGCATATAAGGGGTATTGTCCTTTTTCCAAAGGCGAAGACGATATGGAGGAAAACAGAGAAGAGAGGGAACGATTTTGACGAAAAAGAAAAATTTTCACATTGTCGAAGTTGAAAGTCACGAAATGCTGATTCATGAATTACCTGAATAGATGAGATGATTTATTCACTGTCCATGTGTGCGTGTGTTCATGTGGATTTGATATCTTTCGCCTAAGCGAACGATAATCGCGTGTCTGTGCTGTGTACAATGTGCATATTTGAATGCATTTTCATAATGTATTCGTGATGTATACACGTGTACACACACAGAAAGAAGTAAGTTTATACGTATCGTTTTTGCTAGATATGCACATACATACCTATGCATTGAGGTTGATGGTGTTCTTGTGTTGAGGCTGCAGCAGCAGCAGTCAGTGATCATTATAGATTTGTTGTGCTCATCATCGTGCATAACCCAACCCCTACATACCATCGCACAAAACAGATAACGCTAAACCTTTCTACAAATAAACACACAACATTTATACTTCTCAGCAACAACCAATGTCTTCTTCCTTCGTCGCTTCTTCCTCATTGAAATAACATCTTCACTTGGTTTATCTACCATTCAATTGTTTCAGTCTTTGCCGAACTCTAATTCGCACGATTTTCAACCTTTGTTCTTCACTATTCATCATTCAGCAGCCGAGAGCGATCGCTACAATTGTTAAAATTAATCAAAATCGAGATCCAACCTCATCCTCATCATCCATAAAATAACACCCGAATGAAGCGTCTAAGACTGCCTGCTATCAGTGTTGGCACGGAATTCCGGGATCGTCTATTGAGTCCTGATTCCCGGATTTATGTCCTGAAAAATCTTCTGATTTCGGAATTAGATGAAACAACATTTTATACGGTTCTGGTATAATACCGATTTTGAATTACTCATCAAGCTCATTCATATTGAGAAATATTTGTTGTTTCTCGTATAAGGGATAACAAATGAATAAATCCTTACACAATAGCGCCGCCTCGGTTATCGTTTCTCAGAAGTCGATGAATAAAAATTTCGTATTATCAGTCCTGCTTTTATCAATCCTGCTTCGTCTTCGTTATCAGCATTGCTTTGTCTCCTTCGATCTATAATCGTTTTCCAGTCCAGTGATTATCCCAGGATTCAAAAACAATCCCGGAATTTAGTGCTGATCCCGGGATTGAAAAATGGTTGAGGTTTTGCAAATGCTATCCGCTAAACGTTTCCGAAAAATTTTCTCGCAATATTTTTTAACGGTATGACGCTACATTTGCTCATTATAGACAAATAGCTCACCCATGAGCATTTTCTATCATTTTGCATTTTCCGTAATTTGTTTTCTCAGAAATGTCAATATCGGCACTTGACATTCTACGACACTGATTTAAACATACGTATCTCATCCTTGTTGCTTATCTGAATGGTTTTTAGTGAAGCGGCGGTAACGCTACTATCAATAGGCACATCGAATATTTTTCATCTTTGTTGAGTCATCATTGAGAATTTTTTCCTTAATGCTTCAACAACATATCAATTCAACATGGCCCATGTGAATAATCAAAGCGAATAATCATCAAGATATTCTCGCAGTAAATTTTCCTTCGAATTTTCATGCTGTGCTGATATCATTGAAACATTTCATTTCAAGTGTCAACAGAAAATTCCTGCACGTTGAAAAAATCACTTAAGATTCGCATATTTGTATTTAATTTGTTGTACCAATGGACAGTGTCATTTTTTGTGTTGAACGTCATCATATTTTTTCCGTGTTTGTAAACTTCCATCCACTTTTCTGATGGTACGAATGGTGAGTTGAATGTGTACTCTTCGATTTTGCATATTCAATATGAACCCCTTCATAGTGCTGTGTGTCGTTTTGAATTTCGACTAGTTAGAGCAGCATCATATGGAGCAACAAGGGATTTTAAGAAGATTACATAATACTTGTCACATTGTTATCATATCGAGGTTATCTGTTGATGTTTCAAGTCACGTTTTATTGCATGTTACATTCTGATATCACGTCGACGCTTATCTGAGCAATCTTCGATTGACTCTAACGTATGCAAAATCGAAGAGTACACAATTTGCATTCTCTTCATGATTTGATCACTCAGTCTTTCATGCAAATGCAAATTGTTTGTTTCATTCAAAATCATCGCACGTACGCTTCAGTCGTTCACAACATTCTACACACATTTTGGCATATTAGCAGCGAACACTTGAAGCACATGTTTGTGTGTGAAATGATTAAACATTCGGTTTTATTCCCACTATAAAGTGCTTCATTCTATATGCATTCATGCCAAAACCCTTGAATACCATAAAGTATTTGTCAGATGTAAGCGTGCAAATTCTGCAATAGCAACTTCGGTTATTAAGAAAAATAAAAATTGAGCATCCACATCTGCACTTACAATCGTTAAAATACATGGGCTTGCATAGAAAGTTTTATGATACACTGGAATATCCACGTTAATTGTACTCCGCTATTCCCTTTTGTTTTGGCTTCATGATTGT